ACACACACACACACACACACACACACACACACACACACACACACACACACACACACACACAGTGACTACTGGACATGTGCACCAGAGAAGGCTTTGAACCAGAAAGGATGAAGATAATGGGTGTGTATTTATTTATTTTTATGTCAATAAACACAATCGTTCCTAACAATGCTTAACAATCTGATTAAATCCTATAATGAAACTCATTACAAATGTATTTTCTGATTCCAAAACATATCTTAAAATAATGAATTCCTATCATTAATGCATTCCTTTTAAGTTATTTTTTTCTTTTTACATCTATCCTTCTACTTACAATTTGTATATTAGCCCACTAGGTGACGCTCTGCTTTTACATTTGAGAGCTGCTGAAAAAAATGTCCTTTTAATTTGATTGGAATTTTATTTCAGGCTGAGACAGCTTTGAATGATTGACTAGTTGTTGGCAGAAATATAATCTAAGGTGGCCAATTATCCACATACAGAACACTTGTCACTATTGTCATAAAGTTAAAGAACCTGAAGGTTAATATGATATTTAAATGAAAACTTACCAGAGGTCCAGGTTTGCCAACATGGCCTGGTGTACCACGCTTGCCCTGTAATTAAAAAACGTGTTTGCTCTTAATCCATCAAAAAATAACATTCTGATCTGTTGCACATTTTCAATATTTAAGCTATCTGGGACTTTACTGAATGTCTGTAATGAAGTGAAAAATCTTGGTCATGTGTTGACAGATCATCTTTCTGCTGATGAGGACATTTACTGTCAAGTTCATATGATATATGCTCAGGCAAATATCCTTGTCCCTAAGTTTGGATTCTGTTCTGATGAAGTGAAACTGAACTTGTTCAGATCATATTGTACTACTCTCTATACGGCACATTTGTGGTGCAATTTTAAAAAAGCCAGTCTTCATAGATTGAATGTGGCTTATAGTGATGCATTAAGACTCTTGTTACAAAACCCCCAGATGGACCAGTGCCAGTGAACTGTTTGTATCTGCTCAGTCAGCACATTAATGGCTGTTTTAAGAAAGCTTATGTACAAATTTATTTGTCATTTAAATATGTCTAATAAAATAATTATTTTACAGTTGACCAATGTTACATATAGTGCAGTAAAATACTCATCTGTGCTTTRGAAGCATTGGTATGACTGCCTCTTGAATGGTTAGGAATCTTTTTGTACTTTTTTATTCTTTTATTCTGTTTTTTTTATCTTCTTTTTATGCCAATTGGACCTTGAGTCTGTAATAAAGTCTATCTATCTATCTATCTATCTATCTATCTATCTATCTATCTATCTATCTATCTATCTATCTATCTATCTATCTATCTA